GTGTGTGTGTGTGTGTGTGTTTGTATGTATATATGTATATATATATATGTGTGTGTATATTGTATTCGTATATATATATATATATATATTTGTATACAATTAATCCTTACCTTTTATAATTGCTTGCTTTCGTATGTATCTAACCGAGATGCCACTATGGTCCAGTAAATCCACCAGTACAAGGTTGTTTGCAGTTATTTGTTCTCAGAAATGGAAATCGTATGCTACAATCACAGATACATATTCTAGTAGCTCGTGCCCCTAATTCCTGGAGGTGGACCATAATGTCCTGACACACATTCGTTGTCTGAACCCCAAGACACTCAATAGCAAACATTCCGTGTTGATATTACACAGATAATAAGAAGACGTTGGTCCGATCTCAACCGTACCGAGCCATACCCGACGATGCCCAACCGCGGGACTTCCACACCAATCTGATGGGATTGCTGAACATGCGAGAGGTTGCGCGGCACAGGAAACGCATCGATATACCCGGTACTGCATAGTGACTAGCGTGCGACTGTGACTGTATATGCGTGTGTGCGTTATAGTTTGTGATAGCTTTCGGGTTCCGTCAAGTATGTAGAGTGGATTGTGTGCGGGTGTGTACGCGTGCATGAGTCATTGTGTGTGATGGATTCTAGTTATGTCAAGGAATGTAGTGATTGCGCTCACCAAGTATGCTACAAGTACAAGGGAGTGGTGAATCTGTAGTACTTCTACACATAAATACAGAAGGTCAGATCTCTTCTCGCGAGTTCTTGGCGGATAGGTTATATTTGCTCATGGTGAGTGTTTAGTTCAGCCTATCTACACGCCCATACATACTTCCACATAAAGTGAAAATGTTTATAAGACTATGGTTAGGTGCGACTATTTACTATAAATACTCTAGCTAGCACCTATGCTACACCACTATAACATAGCGTCATATGTGAAGTTGTATATATCAAGGGATGTGTCGTTTTGCTCATCGTACACTCACACTTTGGTTGGGACCGTGCAAAGCCGAGTATGATTGACAGCGTCCGACCACTTTTGCAACTACATTTCAGAGACTCTGATGTGAGATAACAGATAAAGCACTACCATTGCGCAAACAAACGCTTTTCGACTCGACATTGGAACATATCACTGAATTTGTAACTCCCCCTATTACAGTACACACCGCCGGGTGCATCATGCAGGTGGTCGCCCTAGACAACGCCAACACAAAGCGGGCCAAGCCTTTCATTGGTATCTGTACCGCCCGTCCCAATCGAGGTAAGTTCAATTTCCTTTATTATTATCAATCAGTAACTGATGCCAGGTTGGTGATTACGCGCGTGTGAACGGGCTTATGTTCCAGTTTAGAGGATGCTGTTGTTGGGGTTAAGAGTGTAGGGTTTACTACATATCAACCTCGCCTCCTTCTCAGTCTGGTGCCAGACCAATCCGATACCTGAGGCGAGTCTGCTGCCTTTCACTCCTGAGACCTTTAACTGGTCATGGCCCACTCATTTATACCGTTTGTCTCTGACACCACTCTCCTATTCATTGGACTCTGCAGGAACTGCGTCGTCACTAACCTTGAGAAATGTGGTTGATGGTGTACTGCTGGAGAAGTCGTACATGGTCTACTCGCCTCTTATCAAAGAAATCAAGGTATGAAGCCATCATATACCGCTGTCTTCATTGTTTAACGAGAAATGTTCTTCATGAATTAAATTATGCATGGTTGATTGCTGATGCCAGCAGTTGATATCGTTAATCTATTGCTCATTTTCTGAAAGCTTCAACTAACTGAAAACATTAATTAACTTGGTGTTGTCTGTCCTTGACATAGGTGCTCGAGTTCCAACGTGCACGCCGGGCTAAGATGTACTATCTGGACGACCATCCCCTCAACATGAGTACTATCAATTCTAGACGTTTCAAGGAGGTTAATACCACCACTACTAAGGATGCCAAGAAAAAGGGAGGCAAAGGCAGCAAAAAATAGAGATAACATAAACAAGCATGTTCTAATAAAGATGGTCTCGTTGCACGAATCTTGTCCAGTGAAAGCTATCTCAAAGAAGTGCGGCGGTGTATGTACTATCGAAACTTTCTATGTGTATACCAGCTTGTGCGGAGGACAAGGTCTAAACAACACTCCGTATACCCCTTATTTTGAGAATCACATATAAAGTTGAGTTTACTCGAAGCTAGTGGTCGGTGAAAGATCGTACGTGTGTGGCCCCATCTATTTGGCTATTAAACATATCAATTGACACCAAGCTAGTGAGAAGAATGTTTGGACAAGTGTTTCATTCAATATCGTCGTTTTAGACATTTTTGGGGAGTTTTTTTCTGCTCTTTGTTTCCCACTATTTACATATTTCATAAATCTACAACCTGTGAAACTACAAAGGACGTTGTAAGGTTTGCATATAGCGTCAATTTTAAGGATCCCAAACTGCAGCGGCGAGATGTAGCGAATCTTTTTCCCTCAAAGTAGATATTGGTAGATAGAACGACCCACATATATTGTGTGGCCACTGATACAGCCGATTGGTGTGTAGAGTTCTTAAAACTCAATTCTAGCACCGTGTACATATACGGGTCTCAAATGATTTTCAGCGATTGATACATCAAACTATACTGAGACAACTTGCCTATATATAATGGAGTGTTGTTAAGTCGGCGATATTGTACCCCATAAGGATTTTAAAATCACGATCTTGCAGAACAGTGAACCTTCTCCTGCCTTATTAAGGCAACCATGACCTTGATTGGCTTAATTAGCAACAATCACCACCACATTGCCAGTTGTAAATATGAACGGCCAGCCCACACATCAACAAGTAGCAATCAATTTAAACCATAATTCCACCCCCCCCCCCCCCCGCCTGTGTAATAAAGTACATCGTGCACTAGTACCCTGTAAGCAACTCAGATTATGTCTGTCAATACATATGTAGGAAGCGGCAGAAACCTGACAGACCTATAGCAGATCTGAGATCTTGTTTTTTAATGAAATAATACATTGAGTACATACACGGGGTTATTTACAGTTGACAGTTGTTGACAGTTGTGTATTTTTTTTTCACAAAAGCAGGTGATGGAGTAAACTGTATACAAAAAGTATTCGAAATTTCTCCAATCAGTAAACAGTCTTGGTGCCTGCCGATGACTAAATATTTCACGTCTGTCTGTCGTCACGACTCACGACTCAAGAGTCGTCTGATGACAGTTGTGGACACGTTGAAACTTTGAAATTCTGTATTTTAAAATTAGTATATATGTGCACGTCTCGGAGGCACCTTCAACAAGTACAATATATACACACAATAACGGCACACAACAAGATGATGCAAGCTGAGAGTTTACTGGGCCCTGCGCAGATTGGCATCATGAATGCGCTTCGCACAGGCAACACATTTCTGGATTTCGCTTTTTGCCTGATTGTGCCGATTGTATTCTCTGCATTCGCGGTATATATCAAAGAGTTCAACACACTCTGTTGGAGCTTATGGAAGAGGTTATGGACGTGCGATGATTACACGTATACGCGACATATTATTCATGAGACGGCAGAAAATAAATACGGCCGAGTCTACGATGAGGATCAAAATAATCATATTCTGCACAAGGCTATACTGGAGTATATCACTCATAATTGTGACTTAAGCTTCTCTGGGGGACACTTCCGCTTGGTCTACAATGCTAAAACGGTAGAGCAGGCGTATGGGCGGGGTATCGAGGACGATGGGTCGGTGCTTCAACAGTTGCAGTCTTTCGATATTATCACAGAGCCACCGCCCAATGAGCCTGTGGATGTGGGGAAGCAGGTATATTTGACAATTAGTAATGTTTCGACGTCTGAGCAGGAAGGGAAAGAATCATTCTCCACTAAGACAACGTCCGACTACATTCTCACCGCACATGGACAGGATGCCAGGCAACGTGTAGATAAGTATGTACAGCACGCTTACCAGTGGTACATGGACTATGTGGCAGCGCAAAGAGACGTTGCGAGGTACATGTACGTTATGAGATCCACGGCTAAGGGAAGTGACTTAGAGGGAAATGGAAACAGTGTGATTTACAAACGCTATGCATTGAGTAATGACAAAACGTTCAACTCAATGTTTTTCCCTCAGAAGCCTGCACTGCTCCGGTTGCTGGATCATTTCAAGTATCACACGGGAAAGTTCTCGATTCCATCATACCCAAATAAGATAACACTTCTTCTGCATGGCTCTCCCGGCACTGGCAAAACAAGTCTCATTAAGGCACTTGCGCAACATACAGAACGTCACATTGTCAGTATCCCACTGGCTAGGATCAAAACTAACCAAGATCTCATGGATGTGGTCTTTGATCAGTGTTATCAAGTTCAGGGCAATGACTTGCCGATGCGGCACAAGTTCGAAAAGGTCGTTTACGTGATGGAGGATATTGATTGTGCCAGCAAGGTTGTCTTTGCTCGTGATCCGACGTTAAAGGACACTCTCACTGGGGCTTTAGATGGCAGTCTTCTACCCAATGATATGGTTGCTTCAAACACAGTCCTGGAGAAACACAAGACACAGGGCACGTTGACGCAAGATATGTTAGATAAGATGAAGGCGAGTAAAGGGTCCTCGCTTGGTGTGGCTGGCGACGACGATCTGAACCTAGCTGGTCTTCTGAATGTGTTGGATGGAATTGTAGATTGCCCGGATCGCATTGTGGTCATGACTACCAATCATCCTGAGAAGCTGGATCCAGCGCTAATTCGACCCGGGCGAGTTAATCTTACCGTGTACTTGGGGTTTATTCAACCCGCCGAAGCAATCGCGATGCTGGCCCTATTTTTCCAGTGTGGACTATCATCATATATGCAAGACTCGGTGACACGATCATTGAAGAAGGACATTCGTACATTTACTCCTGCTGAAATGGAGCAGTTGTGCTGTGAATACGACACTATTGAAGAGGTACTCGAAGCGCTTGCAACCGCTGCTTCGAAACCGAAAGAAATTATTTCGGCTCGCCACTATACCCCGGCGAAGTTACAAATATTAACATCAGCGAGCTCATTGGAGGACGTGGATTCGATCAGGTCTGTATCATCGGATTTGGGATCAATGGGATTCTGGAGCGGAATGTTGTTCTCTGACATCAGAGAAAGAGAAGGAAGTCGCATCAGAAGATCTTTGTGTCAGGGATTTACTGCAAGGAAGAACGACACAATGCTTGGGATGCAATAAAAATTGCGTGATTATAGACTGTAAATAGTAGAACTAATTAGTTACAACTATCTCCCTGACAAATAAACTAACGTAGCACTTCAATAACGATTCTGTCGTATTAATTGTACTTTAACTCCTGCAAGCGTACATATACAGATACTCACGACGCTTACTATCACACTCGATTACTATTGTACATGTACTTTTTCTAAGTGATGTGTTTTCGTAGAAGTTTGTGACAGGGTATACAGGACTTATGCGCTCTACAGGTTTCCACCCAGGGAGTACTTGACCCAAGTACGAGAACATTCAAGACAAAATGTTCCCAAGCTCACTAGTAGTAGTTAATACGTGCTCATTCATCCACCAGAGCCAGAGTGAATCGAGTGTGATGAGATCATCAGATTTTTGGCGGTCCGAGTTTGACTACTCATATAAAATAGTCTGAGATATTTATTATATTAAATACAAAATGTATATTTTTGGTGGATGTATTTCTATATATTTAATGAAGTGTATACTATAGCCTCTATCTAGATATTCAAATATATGTATTGTTCTATGTGATTATTAAGAGGCTACGTATATGTAGCAATACATTTTTTACTGGCTTGTAAGTTCTGCTCTGCGTGAATTTTCAATCGCTTTGCCAACGGATTAAGGAGTTCTAGGTGTGTGTATTTCGATGCAACAGCCTTTCACATACTTTAATTGCCGTGTTTTATACCATATCTCTTTCCTGATTCTCCTTATAACAAGTTCGGTATCTGTTCACCACTGACTGGAAGTATATCTAAGTGTGTACATAGCGGTGTTAAATCATATTCGAACGGCTTATACTATGCTGCCGATACTTGTACTAGCTTACAGCTCCTTGCTGTGTTGTGCCAAACACCGGAAAATCAGAAACGTTCTGGAAAAATATGACTGACGTCCAGAGCTTAAAATCAATGCTCGTATTACATGCACTCAATGTCTACTGCATGAATATTCGACACAACTTGTTTGTGCTTGCCCTATAGGTCGTTGGCCCGGTTTAATGTGTCAAAATACACATCAAGCGTCTGTATTGCAGCCATTTTTGTCCTCTTAGTATTAGGCTGTTACTAATATGTGTTTGATAAAAAATGCAGTGATCAAGACAAAGTAAATATACCAGTATATACATGCTTATCAACCAACAACACCTCAGCCATTTTGTCCTCTTAGTATTAGGCTGTAAATAATGTGTTTGATATAATATGCAGTGTTCAAGACAAAGTCAATATGCCAGTATATACATGCTTATCAACCAACAACACCTAAGCCATTCTGTCCCCTTAGTGTTAGACTGTAAATAATATGTGCGATAAAAAATGCAGTGATCAAGACAAAGTAAATATACCAGTATATACATGCTTACCAATCAACAACACCTCAGAAGGATAGTAGAGTTTCGTGCACATATTTATAATGAACCTTTCTACGCCATATTTCCACGTGTCTACATGTCCTGACATGAATACGAAAACTGGCCGTATTCTGCAACAGTTTTATTCCGTTACTGTATTTGGGTGACTGTATGTTAACATTTGGCAGTTTAATTGCTCGTGTGCGAAGCTATGGCCAGTCTCTCTGATTCGATCACGGGCAAACATTACTGTTACCACTGCTGCTTCTTTTTAACTTACCTATCTATGTGTGTGTGTGTGTGTGTGTGTATGTGTGTACCTCCCATCTTCTCAGGAAAATCAAAGAACTACAAGACAAGAACATCAAGATGGACAGGAACGGAACAATCACGAATATAAAATCGGTGTGCACTACGACCTTCATCCACAACCTGGTCCGTGATATTATCAAAGGAAATGTGCCGCTGATGGGCCCCAATGATATTACGCCGAGTTTTGTACCACATACGAAGTAAGTTGTTTTTGTCAGTGGTAGAGATTAAGTAGTATCTCTAGTAGACTTCTCGTAGAGTTTTGGCCGTAGTCTGGTCAGTGGGGGTTGTGTGGATAGGGGTGTTCCAGATACTGTTTATGTGTCTCCCGCATATCATGTAGGTTACTATCGGTCTTAGATATTGAATTATACATATAGTGCGCTTATTCCCGCATATCAAGTACGTTGCTATTGGTCTTAGATACCGAATTGTATATCGGGTAGTCTTGTTGGAGAGTCTCTGATAGTAATCTGGTCAGTAAGTGTGAGTCGATCAAATCCCCTTAACTACTGTACTGCCTGTACTGGTATTAGGTAAATTTCGATCGAGTAATAGGAAACGGTTAGCCTATGCAGTCCAGACTTACGCTGTTGGAGTCCAGGCGGATCTGTTGCACTGTCTTTGTTTATAGTGCCACGGGTCCATGTGATCAGTTCTTCACTCGTATTGCGCACCTGTAGGATGTAGTTAGCGTGTATAAACATGTGCAGATTCATATGAACGAGATGACGTTGCTGACAACGAAGGTGTGCACACGCAGTCTATCTTGCTGACTTGCCAAACTGCCACAGTGAATGGAGAATGGCTCGCCCCATCGTCCTAACCCAGTCACAAGAGCACTATCCTATCTTTTCCGCCAAGTCCCAACCCTTTCGGAGAAAGCCAGAGCTAAGTCGGTTCCATTCAGCTGGATACCTAATCGGACTCGGTATTTATCCACTTCCAAAGGGCTCTTGACCTTGTGCTCATGTACTTGTACTGTATTTCAGGACCTCGATGGGCGGCTGCGAGACAGCGAAGACCAAGAAATCGAAATGTACGCAAACCAAACCAAACATGGAAGCAGTCGCTACGCCTTTCTGGCCGCGTGCTGCACCTTCAGGAGCCAGAAAGGGGACCGGGACATGCGCAAGAGAGAGACTATCCAACTGGCATGACGACCGGGAGTTTTGCACCCAATTATAGGAACCAGGACTGCGGGGGCTGGAAGGTGAACGACGCGCTTCAGGATAAGGGGTATCTGCGCTGTGTGAAGAACGGGTGGGGCAATGAGAACTCGTATTCGCTTACCCAGAAAGGGGTCAAGCTGATGAACCTGGTCATGGCCAAGTTCCCTATCGGTAGTACAGCGCCTGTCGGTGCAGGTGGAGTGGGGGTGGGTGTGGGAGTGCCTGGCAGCGCAACTGGACATTACACCGGGAAGGTGATGGGCGGTTACGGAGGCTTCGGCCATAACGGATTGTCGGCGCACGGACTCGGACATGCACTTGCCAGTATGGGCACCTTCCCTACAGCTATAGGTATGTTTGCATGCCACAACCACGTGGGTATAATTGTCGTTGGTGAGTGACTGATGGGCTGTGTTCGATACACCAAACGTGTATTCGCCACCATCAGTATCACATGGCGTCTACACAGACACACGAGTACACATATGAGTACGAGTGCGTTCCTGTGTGCTCGCTTGTCCGAATGCCTATCGCGCCATTGGTCTTATACTGTATGCAACGACCGTGACGTAGTGTGTGACGTATAACTCCGCGTGATCAACATCTCGCTCCATGCAGACTGCAGTGACTAGTTATGCACAGCCTACAATAGTAAGGAATACCTCACCCGTGCCTCACCCATGACATATTGCACGATTGAATATGCAGGCCCCCTCAAACCAAACAAAGACTTCGAGAAGGATTCCCAGGACGCAGAGCAGTATGTGCAGCACACTATAGAGTCAGGCGAGTATACGACGGGCCATGTGATGCGACTGAGCAAAGTCCGTCGTCACAACATGCACGATTTCTGCGACCGAGTTTTGACTCCTAAATACGGGATGCCGGTTCTGCACTCCTCCACGGGGACAGGCCGTAATCGAAGTCGGATTATCACCGTATGTGAATTTTACGTTTAAGTTGGCACGCGGAGGGTCTGGGTTGAATTTGGCTTGTACGTCTCCTTTTGCGTGATTCCGATTGTGTTTGGACGTCACCATGGGAACGACGGTCAGTATATGTGATGTTTGTCTCTGATGTTATGGCGTTTTACCTGGGGTTCTTACCGGCTATGTATTCGTTAGTGTCTGCACTATGCTGCCATGTCCAACCGTTACAACCAGCGTCTCTATGGCGTACTTAAAAACGTATTGCTGGCTGCTCTGAGAAAGAAATAATAACATTAACAATATTTTTCAACGCGTTCCCGAGGAGTCTTGACAAACGTCACCTGGTCAATGCAGTATCGTCTCCCTTCTATTCAATGCTGGCTGGACTAGTTCGGCAATTGGCATGCACTCCATTACTTTCGCATGAGCCTGGCGTGATCGTCTCAAGCCATAGCACACGGGATGACACAAACTTGTGAGCGATTCATCTTGCATGTTTCCATGACAACGCGAATGTGGAGATTTGTGTTGTAGTTGTTGGTGATAAAGTACTAACTGTTTTCACCTTTCAACAGGTGGTGCCACCCGCAGCGCTAAAGAAAGAGTCGAAAAGCACCCGCAAAGCACCACAATCATCCATGCCATCACAACACACTGGCTTCGTGTTGGGCACAGGCACAGGTGCTCACGATAACAAGGCGTGGGTTGGGCCTATGGAGGGGACAGTCTGGTATGGGATGCACGGCAACTTGTATATTGTCAAGCGACTGAGTT